TAACGACTGCCACAGGCACACATGGAGACAAAAATCTCCAGTCTACCTTGTCAATAATCACGTGCGGAGCATGCAATTGAAAGGAAAATGAATCTGATTGGATGATGACGGTCTGTCTTGCAGACGATAAAACTGTCACAGACAATTATCAAACTTGTTTGATATTATAAATCCTGTCGGCAACACGATAATCTTGTCGTGGAAACATGGGCACATGCGCGATTTTACTCAAGATTCGAATCAGAAACAAAAATATCTGACCAAGACCACTCGTGTGCCCACATCTTAATTAAGAACTACACTATGATATTAAATGTGAATTATAACTATATTAACATGTAAGATGGCCAAATTTATGTTATTGCACACAACAAATGAAAACATTAAGTAGAATTTCACACAACTAAAAATAAGGCTGATTATTAGGCAAATTCAATTAAGGTTTCTATATTGTCTAATATTTGCTTTAAATACACAAAAGACATATCTATTGTCTGAACAAAGTAAAAAGTTTTTTAAATTTTTTCTATTATTTCTATAAGAATTGGAATATCAGCCTCAAAAAAGTACTGTTAGTCTTAAAATATCTTTGATTTGATAAAAATATAAACATGAGCACACATTTTGTCTTTAAAATTTGTTTTTACAGAGGCCCATTTTCATCGAAAATTTGTGACTTTTTGGGGTTGAAATTTCTAGGAGGGAAATGAGTTTCTTTTCAATGTAAACTACTTTGAGGCTGATATTACAATTCTCTTAAAAAATATTGAAAAAATTTTTTGTTCAAGCTTTTTTCCAAACTTATTTTTGTCCAAAATTTACAGAAAGACAATGCTGTTGATAATTTCTAATTTAAAAAAAATAAAAAATTTATAAGGCAAGAAAAAATACACATGAACACATAAGAATAGAAATAAGAAAAAAATAAATGATATGGTTTCGTCTCTCCTAGTAAAGTGATTTTATTCTTAGTTTTATAATCCCTCCAATTAGACAAATTTCGTTTCACAACCTACACATAATGATAAGCTGCCTGAACTTTATGAAGCCAATGGAAATTTGTAATCTCATCTAGGCTTAAAGTAGCCAAATCTCATGAAGATGTAGTCCAAAAAAAATGATTTAGCATTCTGTCAAATTTACTGTATATTTCCGAATATAATGCGCACCCGTGTATAATGCGCACCCCTTCCTTTTCCCATTAAAATCGGGAAAAATCCATTTACCCGTGTATAATGCGCACCCCTTGTTTACAAAAAAATTTACTAACTATTTTAATCATTAATTTCAGGTTTGTACATTTTGACCAGAAGATTTATAAATTTTGTTGGTTACGCAAGTGATTTGCCCTCAGCCACCAAAAATTCTAATATAGCTTTTTATTCTACTTAAAAATCACATAATAACTTATCCAAAACTTGTTGACTATATCTGGCCTTATTTTACAGTATCAAGCTATTACGAACTTTGTCTTATACCTTGACTGCTATAGCTACCTTCTTGTATCATGAGAATTGTAAATGCAACAATTTGATTGGATTGTTAGCTTAAGCTAGCAAATACAGTCAATCAGTGTTCTCGACAGAAAGTATATAAACAGTAAGCCATAATGTGTACAGTCTTTCTGTCGAGGCCCCTGATTAGCTGTATTTTCTGGAGTACAATCCAATCAAATCACTGCATCACTGTGATATAAATATCTGTCAGAGGAAAGAGTAAGTTTCAAACTTTACAAAAAAACAGTTAAAAATTTATTATATACTATAACAACAGTAAAGTAACCATCCATACAGAGAATTATAAAAAGCCATACTTGATATGATGAAAAAAAGTAACAAAAACACAAATGCTGCCTGCAAATAGCAATGTTTACAATATCAAAGGTATATTATATATAGGATTTGGCAAAGGTCTAACGAAGGGTGCATTCAAGCTTTTTTCAGAAAAATTTGAATATATTTTGCAGAGTGCAAAGTTTCTCAAAGAAGCTGTGGTAGCTTATGAGCAATTTCATAATCCTTTCTCCCATTGAACACAAATCTACAGGTTTTGTTGACACCTATAAAGATATATATTAATAATTCTCAAAATTTTACAAATTTACACAAAGCTTGGCCCCTTAAACCCTCCATTTAGCCACTCTATTAACAAACACATAGACATAACACTGGTTACAAGAGTATCTTTGATAAATATTTGACAACATAAAAATAGGTAATGTGCAGTGGTTTAATTCTTATAAAGGCTACAGGTAATATTTATACCATGTGGTTATAAGCTATTACTATCTATGGCTACTGTAATACTTTCTAATTTGTCTGAGGTAAAAGTGCTTGATGATAAATGAAGGCCTTTTTTATGAATATTGCAACTCATGATGAAACAAAATTATTCATAAAACAAGCACAACCATCTAATTCTTTGCAAGAACATGAATGTTGATCTAGCAGATTGTCATAGCTTCTATTTAGTTCCAAGAATTTGAGCAACTCTGACATAGTTCAGGCTTGGATGCACTAAAAAGTTTGGTTCAAATGCATGTTATTTCTCCCACAGATTGTGTAATGTAATCACATGTAATATCAACTTATTTCAAGGTATCAGGTTAATAAGAGTCTATAAATATTTCCAAGAGTTAATAAACTTAATAAACTTAATATAACAATAATAACTTTTAAGAATTTTAAAGAAATACTTCCTCTTAGGACAATCAAAAAATTGAAATTTTATACTTGGCCAAGTTTGAAACTTTTAATTTTATGTCCATTCTAAGAGGTAGTATTACATTAAAGGGGTAGAAGGCAGGTTTTTTAAATTTTTTATGTGTATCAGGAACATTGATAGCATCAATTTGCACCATTCCTATTTTCAATCAGACGATTGTGGTTCCTGCAATTCCACTAAACCTCAGCGTTTGATGACATCACGAATCGCAAAATATGCTGTATCACGTAAGGACGTTGCGATTAGTGATATTGAAGGAATCACAACGTCTGAATGAAAATTGGAATAGTGCCAATTGATGCTATCAGTGTCCCTGATACACATAAAAAATATAGAAAACTTCTTTACAATCCCTTTAAAATAACCTATACACTGAAATACTACAATTATCATACCCTGTACCAACAAACACATAATTTCTTTTCAATTTCTGGTTTACATCATGACATAATTAATTAGATATCAATCATACTCAATAATGTAATAAAACATCAAAAGAAACTAGGCTGTATTACCACTAACAAGTTGATTTTGACATAATTTTACCAAGAAAAGGGTAGTAAAACGAAACAAAGATCGAAATATAGTCAAATTCAAACTCATTCGAGGTCTCATTTGCCCTGCAGAGGCCAAGAGTGGGACAGAATTTTTATTTTGGAAATTAATCAATAAACTGTTTCTTAGATGTATTCGATGTTAGAGAAGGCCTACAGGAAATCAAAGTTTAACATTTAAATTTTTTCAGGCCTTACTGAATTATATTTAATGTTTAAAATCTTTTAAGAGATAAGTGTAAAAAAATATGTCTCTTTCAGAAAAGATCTTTGGTTCAGCTAGATATCAAATTGCTCTGTAAAATTATTAATATTTTTAAGTAAGAAGGACTATATGTTATATATCCTGTTGAAGTTGGTTAAAACAGTTTTGTATTGGCACTTCTTGCACATATATTATATAAACATGCACATAACAAAAAAAACCCCAAAGACGTCACAAGAAATTTAGTTTATACACCAATCAAGATTAACAGTTTCTTCTTCCTTTAATATCAAAGGCCAAATAATTCTAAAGATTTTGTAGCATTGCTTAAGTATTGGGTATACTTACAGCTTCCAATTACACCTGTTCAATTTTCTATCACACTTCTCTAGTTGCAGCAATTAATTAACTAGATTTCAAATACCATTTGAGCAAAAGTGTCGTCATATTTGATCAATTTATAATAGAATTATAAGACTCACCATTTTAAAGTAACAGCGGAATGGTCAAAATGTAAGGTATACTCATACTTTGACTCGAATATCTATCCCTTTAAGTAAGCTAAAAACTTCTATGATTTTTTATGTTGACTTTAACTAGCAGTGTAGGTTTGTAATAAGTGAACACACTGAGATAGATATATACTATTTACAGCTTAATACAGTGAATTAAGCAGTTATTCTGAAATAGTCCTTAGCTTTAATGCATTTCCATAATATAAAGATGGGTTTCCTTATTTTTTAGTGTCAAATTTAGCACACTATATGATTAATTGGTGTTTCTAATGAATTATCATGTATTCTTAATCATTATTGCATATAATAAAGAGTTTTAACAAATCATAAATGTTCATGTATGTACAGTCTGGATAAACAAAAAAAGACTTTTTGACCTTTCTTGATCGTCACTCATTTGAATTCTTCTGGTAATTCTCTTCTAATTTAGCTAATTATGAATTAATTATGGACATGTGAGACAAACTGGTATTTTTCAAAGTCATTAGAACACCTCTACTTTCTATTCATAGAAGATTAATTTCATAAATGAAATAAGGGAACCCATCTTTAAGTTATACAGAGAATACAATTCAAAAACAGAAATACATGCAATTATCATTATTCATTATCCAGATCATTATATGTGTATACAATTTATTACAATAACTTATAAATAATATTCATTATTATAATTCATCAATCTATTGCAGACAAACCTTACACTGGAATTTTCATCTAAAAAGTGATCTTAACAACTGGTATTGAATTCATCAGCCATTTCAGCCAAATTCATATACTATTTTTAATAGAAATTCTTGAAAAAGTAATTTACAAATATGATAGTTATAAGAGAAAATGCAAGTATATTTGCAATAACTCTTCAACTAAAAAGCGAAAAAAGTCCCTTAAAATCACAGAAAAAAAATAATATGAAAGAATATGGTAACATGTGAAATGAAATTTTTTACAAATGTTCTATGAACTTAATAAGTACAAATGACATAAAACATGAAAGATTCTTCAAGACCTCGTAACATCACCATATTCTTCATTCCATTTTTCAAATTTCAGTAAGGAATCGGGGGGAACACTTATTCTTATTCTTCTCAAAGCTTCCGTAAAATCAGACATCTGCATATTACGAACCTGAAATTGAAGGTAATTGAGGATAGAAAGCGTTGGGTAGAAAATATTCTGATGCCATTTCCAGTGCTTTTGAGAGTCTGATTTAGTTTAAATCAATATTGCTAGACCTCACTCTAAAATCTGCAAAATCAGCTTGTTCATTATGAATCTAACAATAAATGGAGGATATTCTAATGTACGTATTTCAACAGAAGAACTTTTAATGCATTTGAATCCAACATTTTTTTGAAAATTTGTCCAATGAAATATTAAGTTTTTTAGGAAATATTTGTGGCTCAGACATCAAGTTTTTTAAAACATAATTGATAAAGACTTCATTAACAAAACTAACTTACCTTGTTAGCATCTACATTTCTCACTTCATGAAGACTTAATTCTAAAAAAAATATATCAGAAAATATTTTCTACATCTTTAATGAAGGGAACACATATTATCATGTTTATAAGCTATACGATAATGCATGATGATAGATC